TACAGAATGACTAGACATTTAAAATGTTTTGAATTATTATTATAATATAATGATAATTATATAACATCTTAGAAAAGGTGTCATTTTTTTCAAGGCAATTCAAGAATCATCAATTTTGATGGCTCAAGAAATGCCTGAATCCCGAAGCTAATTATTGTAATAATGTTTTTTTTTCGAAAAAAAAAGGCATACCAAACATGATCTTTAGCATTTCAGTGTTTTTCTTAATGTGGCAAAACACTTATAAAATGCTAGGTGCCAAACAACATTAAATGGTTTAAGGAATTTTTATACATCTAAGCACGAGGGTCACTGAAATTTTATATACTAAATGATAGGGGAATTTTATATGTTCAAACAATAGAAGCCCTTCTCACATATTTATGTCTGAAATAAGACTTAAAACTCACGATATGCAATTTTTGTGTATTGTGAGCGAGACAACTTTTTTTTTACATAAGAGTAGTTTTACATCGGAAGTGTCAATTTTAGGAAGGGTTCAACTATTATATAGAAAATATATGATTAATCAATTTTAGGAAGGGTTCAACCAATCAATTAGAATCATAAACGTGATAGCCAATTAGTGTTATTTATCAAAATTCATGAGTGAATTTTGATTAATCAAAATTCTTTCCATACTATATTTTTTCACATCATAGATTTTCCCTTTTAAGAATATAAACTAAATACCTCTCTCTCTCATGGCAATTGAACTTGTCCACATAACCCTGATTTTATGAGGCAAGTTTGAGGTTTTAAGACTGACAGCACCTCAAGGGGTGTTCTCTTTCATATCCTTCTTTGTTTAAAAAAATAATTACAAATTAAGGGATATGAGTAAATGCATGATTTGATAGAGATTAGATACATGGAAAAGACCCAGTGGGCCCCCATTAAATGCATGATTTGATAGAGATCTGGCTATTGCCATTCTATGTGGATACAAGCATCCATGTTCTTTTTGTTGGGTTTATGCATTCTTTTTTCGAGTCTGCATGTGTGGACTGTTAAAATGATTCAAGTCAATCAGGCCTCCCATCTAAACCCAATAGGGTGATGACCACTGCCCACTTTTTCAATGCCCATTTGGAGAAAAAGGTTATAATTCAATAATTTACCTAGAACATAGTTCTCTTTGATTATTGGGCTGAAACTTCCCTTCTTTTGAAAGATTATTAGGTTCAAAGCCAGGAGATCGACTTACATCAATCTTGGGAATATATTCTGCTGCATGTATTTTGTCATTTATGGAGAAATATTCCCAATGGAGGGTTGAATGTATTGTGAGGTTGATATGAAGAACCCTTAGTGAGGAGTAATTTGGGAGAGGATATAATACTGGTTTGGGAGGGCTGAGCTGAAAATTCAACTAAATTGGTTCGACTGGTTTTGAAGTGTTTTGAATAAGTTATTCAATGAGATTAAAGCAGACAGTCCTTCAAATGATGGACTGACAGCTGATTTGGGCTCTCTAAATTTTTTCAACAATCATAGCTTCTAGGTTGTTTATGTAAGCCCACTTTAGAAGGCCAGAAGCTGATGATGCACTTCAGCACTCCCAAATGGGCACATAGAAATTGACCCTTTCCCATAGAAACCACATTTGTTACTAGCGTTGTGTTGAAACAACTAAATCAAAACCTTTGATGTATTGTTGTGGCTCCACCTTGAATTAGATTAAGTGACTTCTTGGTGGGGCCACTGCAATACATATAAGGCCATGATTTTCAGTTTTAGGTTTGCGCTATAACAGTGTTATAGCAAAAGGGAATTGTGTGAGAGTGCAAAAATGCTTAATGCAAATTTTAATTTACTTTGGTTTCCAATTTGACTTTGTCCTATTTGCTTGTGACAAGTAAAATGGTGTTATTCCCACTTTATATACAGAGAGTGGAGGTAAGGGGAGTATTATTTTCTTAGAGTGAGGTAAAAAGCAAAATGATGTGGTCACTACTTTATATAAGAGATAATTGAAATAAGAGGAAGGTGATGCAAACTTTTCATCAGTTTTTGGCATGAAAAATTTGCACTTCTAATGAATTTAAACGAGACACAAGTACAAATTTTATATCATGATAGGAGTTAAGTCATAGTTTCAGACAATCAGATGCAAAACTGAACCGGGTACAAAATTTGCATTGAGTTCAGATTTGCACTGCAAATAGACCAAGCCTAATGAGCTAATCGTTTTCCCTATAGAAAGATAATTACTAAAAAGAAGGGCAAAGCAAAAGAAGGTATAAAAGAATGTGAATCCAGATATACCCTTGAAAATAGCTCAGTCCAACCACCCACTCGAAAGTCGAAACTTGATGACTTGAGTGCAGTTGGAATCTTGCCCTTGTCCAGATTCAAAAAGGGCTACTAGTCTACATGGACCTCCTCACTAGGTTCCCATTCAAACCAAGCAATTGAACCTAGGCCCACCACCACGCGGGCCCACTCCGGCCCACACTCACGGCTAGGATGGGATCGTAATCGTTATCCTGATTTTTCATTCAAAATCGCGGTGAAAACACATCCCAAACATCAGCTCAGAAAGTTAATCTATCATCAGACATAATTCGTGGGCTGAAAGCGCACGTGAGTGTGACATTTATTGGGCCTTCTTTATGTTGTAAGCGGAGTAGGAGACAGTAGAGTAGACACCCATTTCTTAATTCAGCGCCCAACAATTATTACGCACTCTCTCGCGCCCTCACCGTCCACATTTCCTTCAATTATGTGGACCCGATTGAGCCCCCATGGGCCGGGCCCACATCCACACCTAAACTAAACTCCCCCCTGAGAACACAACCAACGGAACGGACGACCGACGACTCATTTCAATTTGGGTAAATTATAAAGACCCCCACTGTACTATGGTTTGTGACAAAGACCTCTTGTATTTTGTTTTGCAACAAATACCCCCTTTTACTTTGATGGTGAGATAAAGACTCCATTTGACCGTTAAGTCAGATAACGGAATGCACTAAATTACCAAAATACTTCACTAAACTTTTTCTATTTTCTTTTTTTTGCTCCTTTTCTTTTAAAACCTATTTAACCTATTGTTTTCCCTTTCTTTTCTTCTTTCCCCCTCTCTCACCATCCTCTCTCATTCTTTCTCTATCCCAATTCTCCAAAATTCTATTCTCTTTTCTGTGGGGCACAAGTGGTGATTTCATAACTCTGAGTATCATCTCTGCAACTTCAGTTGTAGAAAGTAGCACAGCCTGTTTGACTTTGAATAACTCTGAGATTCCAAGTTTCTCCATGTCTCCTACTGCCCCTGAGAGGATGTCGATTCCAATAGTACACCCCTCCTTGTGATGCTCTACACGAAGCAAAGAAATCAATTCCACACTGTCCAAACCTGCATTATTTGCAATAGTTGTAGGGATGGTCTGTTAAGGCCCGTGAGAATGCCTCAATTGCATGAGACTTCTTTCCTAGAGTCTTGCGAGCCAATTCATCAACTTCCTTTGCCATCACCATCTCAGGTGCCACACTCCTCCAAGTAAAACTCTGCTGTCGACAACAATTTAGAGTACACACATGGCATCATGTAGACCTTTCAGCCTCATCAAGCACATGAAAACTAGCACCTCTTAATACTATGGCACAAGCTTGACCCATTTCAACCCCAAAGAAGTGAATTAATTTGTCTTCACCAATCTCACCACCGGTTACTAGAGCAAGACGCTCAATTCCATCAAAATCAGCATGCTCAATCGCCAAAATTCCCACATCTGCAAATAGTTCCTCAGGAAAATTGTAAATCAACCGTCTATTCACAAATCAATTGATCCCATGCGCTATAATATTTTGCACCTTCTCTTTCATATTCTCTTTTTCTGCCCCTTCAATTTGTGCAACCCGTGACATAGAATCAACACGAACACATGCCCCATAGATCTTTACTTTGTTAGTATCCATTGCAATGTTTGCTACCAAAATCTTAGCAATTTCTATGCACTTTCGATTGAAGGCATTATTTATGACTACAATTTTAACAGGTTAGAAATGGAAAGTTATTGGGCAGCTCCAATTTATGGTGAGAAGGGAGAGTGTATGGGTTGAATGGGGTTGGGGGTAAATAGGGGTCAGGGGGAGGGCCAAAAGATTGATTAATTCATTCCAAGTGGTGAGGAAGGGACCCCAGAGGCCCTAAAATGTGCCGCATGCGACTGTCATAGGAACTTCCACCGGAAAGAGACGAAGGGGGAGCCCCAATCGGGGGCGAATTGTTATTACTACCATAACAAGAACCACGACGGTGGTAGAAGTAGAATCTCACCTCCCCAACCCCAACTACCTCCTCCATCTCTTCAACAACACCAAAAATTCCAACTGGGGTTACCTATTAGTTCGTCACCAGGATCAATTCCTACCACGATGATGGCCTTAGGAGGTGATGGTGGAATTGGTGGCAGAGCAACTGAGTAGTCAAGCGAGGGCCTCAATGCATACCAGTCCAATGCACCTGGGGGAGCAACACAGCTTCCACAACCATTGTCTCTATTAACGAAGAAAGATAGGGTGTTGGAGAGGAACGAAAAATAGTTACTCTCTCTCTCTCCATCTGCAAGGAACAGAAGACAGAAAAATCGGGAAGAAGAAAGGAGATGAGAGAAAGGGGAAGGGGAAGAAGAGAGACCGAGAGAGAGAGAAAGAGGACTTCGGAAGTCCGTCGCCGCTACAATAAGCTACTGTTTGTATGTCTTGAGGTCGGAGAAGATAAATAGTGTTTTTCTTTGAATAGGCATTACAAGAGTAGTATGAGGATTAAAAAATATTATAACGGTGGATTTTAATGGAAGTCTAACGGAAGGAGGTCTTTGTCTCACGATCAAAGTACAAGGGGGTATTTGTCGAAAAACAAAGTACAGGGGTCTTTGTCACAGACCCCATAATACAGGGGGGTCTTTGTAATTTACCCTTTCAATTTTTTTTCCCTCTTCTCGTGAAACGAAAAACATTTTCCTTTTCGGACATGGAAAATATTTAAAGCAGGGCCTCATTTTTCGATTCCTTCGAGCTGAAACCGCTAAGCTGTGTCTGTCAGACTCAGGTCAGGTCCAGACCAGAGCGCTCGCTAGCTCGCTCGCTCTCTCTCTCTCTCTCTCTATTCAGGTCTCTATCATTTGCTTGGAAGAAATCGTCGTGAACTGCATGTGAGCTTGCAGAAAGATCTGGCCAAAAAAGCATGAAGAATCGAAATGGATTCAATGCTTTCGCTTCGGGTAAGTTTCAGTGTCTTTTCGGCTTCTTTTTCTGTATTTACGTTGATTACGATGTTTTTCGGTTTGGTTGAATTCCAACCTCTGCGTTTCCTCTTCTCTTCCAATCTGCAGAGTTGGTGAAGTTTTGGTGAGAATGGAAAACGAGAGTTGATGACTGAGTGAGACAGAGCGAGAGGTTCGGGTTGTTGCAGAGATCTGAAAAGCCAGTTCTTTGTACTTGTTTTGCTCTTCAGTCCGTTTCCTGAACGAGGTGGCTGTGAGGATCTTTGTTTTTTTAGTCGAGTTTGGGGTGATGACTCTCATTGGAGGGTTAATGCTCGGCTAGTGTTTCATATCCTTGGTTTCAGTTGTCTGACATTCAGTATGAGTTAATTCAGAACCTTCAAGCTTAAACTTATGGTTACTGTTAAGTTCGGTTGTGAGTTTGTCTGGCAGGAACTCCAATTGATCGAATGTATGTTTGGAGTTGGAACTCAGAGTAGTATTGGTGAAAATATCACAAGTGGGATGGGGTGAACATCGCCAGATATGTTCGTAGTATTAGGATTTAAAAAAGATTACAATTACAGTTCTTTCGAAACCAAACATGCTTGGTTTTTCTTTTCTTTATTCTGTTGATTCACCTCATTCTCTTCTGTGGAATCAGTTTGCGTTCTGATCATGACCAGGGCAGTTCGTAGTAGATTTCTCAAAGATGAGAATGGTGCTATTAGTGATCACCTTCGCAATCACATCCATTTGACAAATTGCATCCATCTGAAGAACCATATGCACAGGCAGAGCCCCATACTGGCCGAAAGGTCACTTATGAGGGATCTTATTGTTCTTCAGAGGTCGAGGTCCCTCAGGGATCCTTCCACTAGTCCTCCCTCATGGCATTCTCCTTCCATAATTGATTCGTTATCTAAGAAACTTGAAAAGGATGCTGGTTTGCGTGAAGGAAGGAGGTCTGTAGGTATTGAGCGCCAGAGGGAAGGTAGTAGGTTGTCAGGAAGTTCACCACATAATGCAAGCGTAGCAACATCAAAAGTTGCTGCTGCTGAATTAGCCAGGGGAGATGATGAGGAAGAAGCTGCTAGTGATCGCAGTAGTATGCCTAGAGCCAGAGATCCCAGAAGGATTAAGGGAGAGCAATCTAGTCGGAGAAATTGGAGAAGTGACATTTCAGTTGGCACTGAGGAGCCTCTACAAGATGGTCACAATCTGGTTGATGACTTTGTTTCAGGGAAGGCAGAAATGAAAAATAGAAAGAGTTCACTGAAGGTAAAACGTAGTCAAGATGGTCTCCTTAAGACTCTATCAGAACAGCTGAATGAACTTCCTCTCAATAGTAACAATGTAGAATTGTCTCACATCCATCATTGTGGAAAACATACAAATTGGGAAAAATTCAGTGAGGAGCCAGAAGCAGGCACTTACAGCTACTGTAACGGATTGAACAGAGTTAAAAAGCGCAAGTTTCATGGTGCAAGAAGAACCCGAGCTACTATTCTCTCTAGAGAGATTGGAGCACAAAATGAATTATCCGTGGCTTCTAATTCATTAGCCCAAGGTTCAAGACAACCCAAGTTTCATGCAGAGGAAGTAGAGGAACAGGATGCCCAGCTAGAAGTTACACAGGCTCCAAGAAATGGGTGTGGGATTCCTTGGAATTGGTCAAGAATTCACCACAGAGGTAAAACATTCTTGGACATGGCTGGAAGAAGTTTATCTTGTGGGCTCTCTGACTCAATGTTAAGGAAAGGTGGCCCTGTTCCCCAAGGAAGAAATACTCCAGATATGCCTGTGGGATATGATCACTCAAGTTCATCTGCTAAATCTGATGCCGAGGCACTACCTCTACTAGTTGATCATTCAGGATCTCAAGAAAGTACTGAAAATGCAGCTTGGGTGCGTGATTATTCAGGAGAGCTAGGTATTTTTGCTGGCCATGGTTTGAGGCATGATGTAGACTCTGACCTCGCTTCTGAAGCTAGATCTGGTAGTCGGCACAAGTCTAAAGGACACCAGCATGCTAGACATCAAAGTCTGACACAGAAATACATGCCAAGAACCTTCAAAGATCTGGTGGGACAGAACTTGGTAACTCAGGCTCTTTCAAATGCTGTCATAAAGAGAAAAGTTGGCTTGCTTTATGTGTTCTACGGTCCTCATGGTACTGGAAAATCTTCATGTGCTCGCATTTTTGCCAGAGCTTTAAATTGCCAATCTCCACAACATCCCAAGCCTTGTGGTGTTTGCAGTTCATGCATTGCACATGATATGGGTAAAAATCGGAATGTCAGGGAAGTTGGTCCAGTCAGTAACTTTGACTTTGAGAGTATTGTGGATCTGCTTGAAAGTATGATGATATCCCAGCTACCCTCTCAGTATAGAGTGTTCATTTTTGATGATTGCGATAATTTGCCTCCTGATTCCTGGAGTGCTATTTCCAAGATCATTGATCGAGCACCCAGACGTGTGGTTTTTGCACTTGTTTGTACAAGTCTTGATCATTTGCCTCACATAATCATGTCCAGGTGCCAGAAATTCTTTTTCCCAAAGTTGAAGGATGCAGATATTATCTATACTTTGCAGTGGATCGCCACAAAAGAAGATCTAGAAATTGATAAGGATGCACTAAAACTAATTGCGTCGCGATCAGATGGATCTCTGAGGGATGCTGAGATGACTCTTGAGCAGTTGAGCTTGCTTGGGCAGAGAATCTCTGTTCCTTTGGTTCAGGAGCTTGTAAGTTTTCCTGATCTTTTAACCCACCTAAACCTTTTCTAGTATCATCTTTGGACTTTGTCTCAGATACAAACTACTACCTGCTTGTTATCTTTCTGGTTGTCTTTTACATTCATCATATTTATGTCATACCAAATAATTCCATTAGAATGTTTTATGTAGGTAAACTAATTTAATTCTTAGCCATCTGCAGTTTGCTGCATACTCTACATATATTTGGGCTTAGGATTATGATTTCTAAGGTTTGTGTTTATGCATCATTTTCATGTGATATCCTCCTTTCTTTATGATTCCTTTATTTAGATATTCTGTTTCAGTAGAGTCCTCCAACTTTACATGAGCATGTAAGACACCGCACAAAAAATAAAATAACAGAGGAAAACAAAAAAAAGTTCAAGAGATAAAGTTATTTAGTTGTTGGAATCTTTGGTATAGAAACCTAGATTTAATAGGAATGCATTGAAAAGAAAGGAAGCAAATGGAGAAAATATTTGATAAATAATGCAATTTAGTTGGGATTTTCTATTCAATGGAACAGAGGAAGAATAAAAAAAAAGGAGGAAAAAATTTTTTATACATGGGAAGTGAAGGATGAAATGAAAAACTTCCAAACCAACTCACACACAACTCTCTTTTTGTTTTTATTGAATTTATTTTTATTCTTAAAAAAAAAAACTTCCAAACTTCTATATGGTAGAAAATTTGACTGATGAAAAAGGATACCTACATTAAGCCTTTGAATTTCTTAAGGAATAATCTAATAATAAAGTGAACCTTTGATTTCTTCATCACCTTTCCATGGAGATAAATTATGGCCAAAACATGTAGAAGAATCACTTTAACATCATTCTAATATCTATCTCCACTTTTTTGCACTTTAATCTCTTTCTCTCTCTCTCTCTCTCACACACACACACACACACACTGTAAATTACGGAATTGCCATTACCATAAGAAAACTCATTACTCCTAAATGACTATGAAATTTTAAAAACAAAATAACTATGACCAGAAAAAATAAACTACTAGACCAGATACCTCTGGTGTCCCAAAGTGCAAAAAATGCATAAAAATCAGAAATTTTCAATTTTGACTCTTTGGCTCCTGCACCAAGTAGATTTTTACTAGCTAAACTATATAAAAGGAAAAGGATAACTACATAATGCAGTTCTTTGCATTGAGTGGGTGGTAATTGCCAGTTATGCTATGAATGATGAAGACAATGGAAATACTTACATACTGACATAAAATCTCAATGCACCTTCCCAGGTTGGGTTGATCTCTGATGAGAAATTGGTAGACCTACTTGATTTGGCATTATCTGCAGACACTGTGAATACTGTGAAGAATTTAAGAGAGATCATGGAATCTGGTGTGGATCCATTAGCATTGATGTCACAACTTGCTACAATAATAACTGACATTCTTGCAGGAAGCTATCTTTTCACCAAGGAAAGGTTAAGGAGAAAATTCTTCCGGCGGCAAACATGTGAGTCCAAGAAGTATTTTCTCTACTCTGTCTTTATTTGACCAGTGATAAACTTAATTAATTTATCCAAAGAATTATAGCCCAGAAACAGCATCAAGTTGATCTAAGTCTAACATCTCTTTTAAAACTACCTAGTTTCTTTTTACACGTATTTATGTTATTGATTATATAAAGCATTGTTTTTATGGAAAAAAATAGAAATGATAATTAAATCTAATACCTTTCAAGGATGCATTCTTGTTTTCATTTTTTTTCTTCTGTTGATGATAAGATGCTTTATTGTATAGTCCAGAATACTCAAGTCAAGCCAGCCTGATCCCAACTATTTGCATGAATCCTTTCCTGCCATTGTGCTTTGTCAAGAACCACCTTTTCTATTAAATTATAAGTTTTCAAATCACATTTTACCAAATTACAACTATTTAGGGTCATCTACACCAACTCTCTACCCATTGGTGCAGTTGTTGGTCATCTTTTCACATGACTAAAATATCTTAGTCAACTCTCTCTCATCTTTCACTAATTGGAGCTACTTGTATGTTCTCTCCTTGGTTCACAATTTCAATGTCGATGGATGTTTCCCTATGCTTAATGGGGGAAATTTCATAAATTTCACTAAACTATTTGGAAAATCTAATGAAGTCATGTAATTACTAAAATATAAAAGTTTTTAATAAAACCTCATAGATTGTTAGAGGAAGGATAATTGCTATTTTATTTTATTTATTATTATTTTTCATCAGCAATACAGAAATGATTTCATTAATAAGAAGAAAGCATGGTTACAACAAGAGATGGTGAAAAAAAGAAAGAACACAACTTTAGAAAATTTGACCCAACCCAAGAATTACAATTGAGCCCAATACAGGTGAGTTCTTTGTACCCCTTGCTTAGCTAGACCATCTGCCAAGCTGTTGGCAGTTCTTCTCACCCATTTAACTCAGATTGTCATATCCTTTGACAGCCATTTAAATCGCCTGAATTCATTCCTCAAATGCCATGCCACTCCCTCCCCCCTTTTCAGCCATTTCACAACAGTTTTTGAGTCACCCTCAATGATCAGTCTATCAATACGCAACTCTTTTGCCTTCTCAACCCCATTTACTGCAGGCAATAGTTCTGATCTTGCCACATCACCTTGTTCATCAGGTCCCGAGTATAAGGCTATGATATTTCCTTCTTCATCCCTAATGAACCCCCCTATGCCTGAGGGCCCTGGATTACCTGAACAACTCCCATCAAAATTCAGTTTCTTCTAGCCACCTATAGGGGGTGACCACTTCTTAGCAGGATTATGTTTTCTAGATGATGAGGCAGCAATAACACCTCAGGCCCTAAAAATGTCTTCAACCTTAAAATCTGAAAACAGTTTCAGACTTTTTGCTCAGTGTGCCACTCTTAGAGTTATGATTTCTACCAAGGCTTCCTTGCTTCTTTCTTTTTCTTCAAATATTCTTGATTTTCTTTCCTCTCAAACTGTCCAGAGTATCACTGCTCTAGTACACCTCCTCAAGATCCTACCCCTCCTTTAAGTGCAGCTAAAGCCAGTAGAGCTAAACAATCCTTCCAACCAATTAACTTACACAGGATGCACCAGCTGGGGGACAAACACCAAGTCCCTTTGGTCTTTTAGTCCTGTTGTTATGCCATTTTGACTTTGTGTCTTTTGGTAGTCAATCATCCAATCATAAAATTCCCATTTTCTCTTATTTTGGAAAAAAAATTAATGATTTTAAACAAATATCAGAAAGTTTCAATGATATTCTAAATTTTTTAAATCTTAGATATATGGTTTATCTATGGAATTCGAAATGTTGCCAATATATCTGCACGGTATTGGAGATATGGGGGAAAAAAGATTCTTGGAATATTTCATTTAACCCCTACTGAAATGTGGAGATATATGGGAGATCTTGCCAAATCTTGCCAATATTGTGAACCATGGTTCTCTCTAATGCCCTAATTTCTGAGTCTGTCCTTTATAATCTTGTCATTAATCCATCTTGACATGCTCATTCAGCTACACTTATTGTAGAAGAACAAAATGAGAAAAAAGGGAAAAAAAAGTGTAAACCCTAATACACTACTAAAAGCAGAGTACACCCTCCCCTCATACTCATAGGACCAAGCATGTCAAAAGGCCTGGAGCCAGCCCACATGTCCCACTGAAGTAGCAGCAAATTGTATGGGTGTTTGATTAAATTTTGGCTAAGGTAGTCTTGACAAGATTAAATTTTTTAGGGACCATTCTTCCAGACTTATTGTATGGGTGTTTTCCTCTGATAGAAAGGTTTTCCTCTTTTGGAGTTTGGTTCCCTAATTCTAACCTTCTTTTCCTATTTTAATTAATGAAGTTAATATTTCCAATAAAAATGCAGAACTGAACTTAGTACTTCCTGGTTCTTACATGTCAAACTTAGAATGGTATCAACCATCTGATGTCCGAAATGGAGTTTGGTCCTGTTGCATCTATCTCAGATTAGCAGTGTTGTTGCTTTGCATGACAGATCTTAGGATGAAATCTCATTGTCCCTCCACTTAACTAATAACTACTGTTGCAATTAAAACACACTTTGTACTTTAGTTCATTCCTTTTCATATACCAATAAAATTTAGCACAATGGTGCTGTTAATTGCGTTTATCATACCTCTTCTGTTAGACAAGGGGTGATAGGAGGTTTAGAGGGTCTTCTATTATGTTATTCATGAGAGATTTTCTCTTGGCTCTTAAGAGGCAGCAGATTTTCTTTTGGTAGCTACCATCAGGAAAAGAAGAGGAATATCATAGACCATTTGTGCTGGATAAATGGATTATATCTGAATTTTGTTGGTACTGTTGTAGTGATTGCCATGGATGTTTGGATTAACAATTCTCTGGTTGGTTTTCTATTTGGTTGTATATCCTTCTGGAGAAAAGGGTTATAATTTTGGCTATGAGGTATTTGGGGTTTTCATCTCATGGATGTCCTTGTTTAGTTGCTGCTTCCATTCCCTTAATAAATTTTATTAATTATAAAATCAAAACTGCTTAGTACTCTGGTGATCTATTATTTTTTCTTTTCGATTTTGATACTGTTAATATCTTTCTAGGTAATGCTCATATGCTCATATGTGTAGATGTGCAAAATTTTCAATATCTAAGTGACAAAGATGTTCTTGTTCCTTATCTACATGATTTTCCTTTTCTTTGCTATGTAACAACTATAACTTTATTGGTGCTCTTGAGTCCTGAATTTGTGAGGTCTCAGTATCATATCTATTTTTTCTGTTGTTTCCCTTTGTCTTGCTGACAGATAAAGGTGTTTATTTCAGTATCTAAAGAAGATATGGAGAAACTACGTCAAGCTCTAAAAACATTGTCCGAGGCTGAAAAACAACTCAGAATGTCCAATGACAAATTAACATGGCTAACAGCTGCATTGCTTCAACTTGCTCCCGATCAGCAGTATATGTTGCCTAGTTCTGCAGAAACTAGTTTTAACCATAGTCCATTGGCCCTCCATAATAATGCTGGGAGAGATACAGCCAGGAATGGTAATATTGAAAATGCTGAGGTTCCTAACAGTGGGAGAGGCTTGTCTACAAATGTTAGGTTGGACAACCATGCTGGGAGCATTAATGATGTTATTTGCAACAATGGAAAGATTAATGGTTATAGTTCAGGTGGAAAGAAGTATATTGGCGGGACTTCTCAACGCACACCTGCATTGTCTACAGATCTAACTAGGGCAACTGATGAGCACACTTCAGGGAAATGTCATGGTCAAATTGAAGAAATATGGTTGGCAGTGCTTGAAAAAATTCAAAATAATGCTCTAAAACAATTTATGTACCAAGAATCTAAACTAGTTTCAGTTAGTTTTGGTGCAGGTAATCTATTATTTGCCTGCCCATGTATATGGATTATTATCATTGATTCCAGTTCAATTTCATATGATGATATATAACATTTAGAAGTACCTGATTTTAAACTACCTTTTTGTTTCAATTGTTATGATCATCTTCAAGCATGTGAAAGGCTCAAAAAATTTAAAATTGATTCTATGAGATGCTCATTACAAACTGCAAACAAGAAGATAGTAACTTTTCTGTTTTCAGAAAATTTACGTCACAGAAAACTATTTATGAAATTTCAGTGCTTTAACATCACTTGATGAAGTTCATAAAAGAATCATTTGATGAAGACTTGTTAAATTATGGACTTGGGAAGCACACTTTCTATAGGTGAATCTTCCTACAGTAGAGTCTCTTAAGGATCATATTTGGCCATATAGGCATACATACTACTAAACCACTTCAACTCTTCTGCTGTCATGTGCTTCTTAGATATTATTGTTTTGATTCTCTCTTTTGCTTGACATAATTATCAAACCTAGAATTGTGTTTGTTATGAACTTATGACAGTATATATTATCCAAAACTAATAGTTATAATGTTTGTCACCCGAATATGTACATTTATATTACGTACATTACTTGTGTTACTTTTTTGGGTTAATCCTGATGTAGTGTTGGTTGACCAATCCACCTTGCCAGTGTATTATGTTGTTTTACTCCACAACTTAACTGATTCCTTCTGACATTATGGGCAACTTTTGAAAAGTTTTCAGTGTTTCTCACCATTATGTTGTTTAATTCAGCTAAGCTTTGGCCTTTGGAGTTTATTTCAGTTGATGTTGTTTTGATTTGCTCCTTTTTTTGACCATTAACTAACATGCATCCTTGCTTCACTTTCTTTGGTTCTTTTATTGTTTAATTAATGAATAAAACTGTTTTATGTACTTTGCATGATATCACAACTGAATGGAAAAATCACATATCACAACTGAGTTGCTTAACTTGCTCGTCAGGTTTGGTGGTTTGTGGCTGCAAACATTTTGATTTTATGATCATTCCGGTATGATATACTAAATTTGGGAAAATTTTCACATGAGACATTTGATTGCTCTAATATTTCCTACCATCCCATGAATCTGATCCATTCTTTTACTGATCAGTTAATGCCTATTGTAACTGATTGAAAACATGGTATTTCTTGCTTCTTTGCCTGATTAAACCATGGATGTTTGCCTGTTCATATACATTTTACAAATACAAGATAGGGTTTCTGATTGACTCACTGATTACTTTTATTTCTTACAGCTCCAACCGTGCAGCTGATATTCACTACACCTCTGACTAAATCAAAGGCAGAAAAGTTCAGGGGTTATATCTTACAAGCATTTGAAGCTGTTCTGGGATCCCCAATGACACTTGAAATCAGATGTGAAACAAAGATGGATTCAAGATCAGGGATTCAAGTTCCTCTGATTTTACCAGTTTTTGAGGATGGTTCCTCTGAGGTGATGGCAAACCCAGATTCAGCTACCAGCAACAAAATGTCAAAAACAGGAAATGATAATAATAATGGTAATATTATAAAGGTTTCAAAGGACAGAGTTGTTAAAGGAGTTGGTTATAGTCAAAACAGTCTCCTGTACCCTGATTCCCTTGATAGGGCAAGGAGTGAAATTGTTGAACTAGTTGCTTCTCCTAGGGAAACCAAGAGCATTGAGCATGCAGATAATAATGGACAGTTTGGTGAAAGAGATGTGGGAAGTGTTTGGATAGGAGAGGCACAATATGCACAACAGAAATCTAAATTGGGCTTGGAAAGAAAGAAAATCGGAGAACAATCTCAGAGTCAGAGCTTAGTTAGAAGCAAGGTGTCCCTCGCTCATGTTATTCAACAAGCAGAAGGATGCGGCCAACGAAGTGGATGGTCTAGAGGCAAGGCAATGTCTATTGCTGAAAAGCTTGAGCAAGAGAATTTGTACGTAATGCTATACAGTTTTTATTTACTGATTACTTTATTATCTACATTTTATTGTTTTTTGTCAGAGTTAAATAGAACAATAATGTTTGCAGGTCCAAGGCCTCTGCTCTAATACTTTCAAGATAAGACCATTCTTTGATAATTGAGGCTATTATGTGTTTACTGACAAGACTATTTTGTACATCATCCCTTGTGACATGGAATTGTAGATATTGGTGAACTAAGAAACATGATTCTGGGGGATCAAATCATATGGATTTGAGAAATACCCCTAGTTATGGAAGCTCAATTCTTGCACTTTGGGTTGCTCCTTGTCATTTTGTCTAACTTGCTCTTCTGTCTTCAGAATTTTTAGTACTTAAACTTTAACATGTAAAAGTAGTTAGTGAAGGAGAGAAAACGAGTACGATTCTGTAGAGGAGGGAGAATGGAGAGGGAGATGACGAAATCCGGGGCAGAGAAAAAGAGGGTCCGACGATCGTCCTCAGTTGCAAATGGTAGCAGAGATTCCAGCAATGACACCCCACCTAGGAGTGTGGAGAGAAACAAAGGGAAGATGGGACGGGAGGAGAGAAACGAAGGATGGACGAAGGGACGAGAGGAGAGAAACGAAGGGAACTTCAGGATGGCAGGAAGGTGGCGTGTGGAGCTAGCTATTGAAGAAAAAATCTTCCTCTTCGAACAAGGATGAACGAAGGGTAAGATGCATCAGAAAATTAGAGAAGGCAACAGGGCGATGACTCTGTTACCAGAGGAAGCGAGCTCCTGGTTGAAAGGCTTTATTGATGGCACAGCCTATACTGTAAAGAAGGAAGGTGGAAAAACTCCTTGGTATGTCCTGGAAAAAGGTTTGAGGCGCAGTCGAGGAGAAACAGTAGAGGCTGGTTTTTCACAGCAACAGAGCATTTTGGTGCTAACAAGAAGCAGACGTTATGTGTGCCTGAAGGACCTAAGGCCCAAGGGTGGTTGTTCCTTTGCTGATAAACTACAATCTTTCTTGATGATGGTTGAGAGTAAAGGAAGAGTAGGTTCTGATAAGAGTTTGAATATTTGTAATGAAGAGGAACAAGGTAAATACAGAATGGGAGTAAAGGAAGAGTAGGTTCTAATAAGAAAGAGACTCTTTTAGTGATAGCTGGGGCAGGTAAATACAGAATGGGAGTAAACATACAGAGARGDGATTGGGAAAGTAAACTGATAGTTAAAGCTTCAGCTCACATTCTAGACTGGAGGAAAGTTGCAGATCTGTTAACAGCAAGTTTAAAGTTGAAGAGCACATTTATTTTAACACCTTTTGAGAAGGACAAGGTTTTGCTGGATCTGCTTGAGAATAGAGTAGAAGTTGAGGCTTTAAATATCCAAGCTAAACTTGGAAACTTCACAGTATGAAGATGGTGTCCGGGATCAAACTCCAAAAATTTCTTTGTTGAAGATGGAGTGCTGGTGCGTCTCTTAGGTCTTCCCTTTCACTTGTGGAAGCAAGAAACTGCTGAAGCCATTGCTTTGATGTGTGGAGGATCACTAGGAGGTGCCTTTTGGGGAGACCTTTGTTCAGCTTCCATTTTATTGAATGGAGTAAAACCTGAGGAGATTCCTCGGAAGATAGAGGTGCTASTTGAAGGTCAATGCTACTCAGTGTGGCTGGCTTCATCCATTGAATCGGTGCTCTGGAAAGAGGCTCGTAGGGAGGGAGATGAGAAGGTTGAAGAAGAAGAACTGCGTGGCAAGAAAGGGTTGGAGGATTCAAACAAGAAAAACACTTTCACTAAAATGGAAAAACAAATGCTGGAGAAACAGAAGGGTAGCATTCAGGGGGTGGGATTTTCGCGTGTGGAAGCAGTGAACAGTCTGGAGGGTGGCAGGTCCTTTGCACAGGTTGTAACCGGCGCCAATATGACTTTTTTGAACAAGGAAAAGGGGTTGGCCCAAGGAAGAAGTGACCTAGACCTGATAAAACCAAACCAAGCCCGGGGTTGGACGTGCGTGACCTTCTTAAAAGTCACGTGAGCTCGCGGGTGTTTAAGAATGGGCCAAAGCAAAAGCCCATGCAGACTATTAGTAGTGTTTTTAAAGGCCCAAACAGGTCAGCGAGCCCGACCCAGTTTGTTAAAAAGGCGCGTGAGCCTTTAATGAACCACGTGACTGGGGTTTCGACTAAGATAGACAACGTTAACGGTCTATCATCGTCCTTAGTCGCGAGACAGGGGGGGAATGCATGCAGCGCCGGAAACCAGAGAAGAAGTGGGCTTTACAGTGGGTTTCCCGACGAAGTCTGAAGGAGCTTAGCCCCTTGCGACGCTCCTCAGAGAGGCCGAAGCCAAGTTTCGCTAGGGGAAGAACTGAAGAGGAAAAAGAGAAGATTGAAGGCTGGGTGCAGGACAGTGAAGGCGATGATGAATCGGAGGACCTTTCTGTTGATGGCACTAGTGTTGGGCAGTGTAAACGACAAAGGTAGTTGTGCTGGAGGTGACATGGATGGGTGGAATATTGCAAGCTTATTTTAGGGTGAAGAGTGCAATCGACTTATCTCATTCCCAAGACTACGGAGCGTGCAAGGATTATCAGAAGGGGCAAACCGGGAGAACCAGAAGCAGAGCAGGAACATGCCATTTAGGGGTGAACCAAGGGTAGAGTGGAAAGATCACCAGGTTGACCAAAGGATAGAAGTACTTCCCAACCAACTCAGGGAGATAAATGTTTACCAACCTCTGGAACAAGAGAGGGAGGCCGGATTCCTAGGTAACCATGTGATTTCGGTTTGTGCTACTAATGTGTCTCCTGTGTCTTTGGTTCCAGATTCTGTTTCTGTTCCATGTCCTGTAGCCCTTGAATATGCAGCCGAGCTAGCAGGCGGGCTCTTTGAGGAGGGGGAGAGGGGAAGGAATGTGGGAAGGTGCGGAAAGAAAGGTATAGGAGTGGTGAAGTGTGGGAAATCATTGAAAGAGTGTTTAAGGAAGTGGAAGGGAAGCTGATCTGGAGGAGGGAAGGGGAGGAAGGAAGAGAGGAGGGGTTAGTGGAGAGGAGGGAAAGGAATGAGGGTAGAGATGGAGAGGATTACGGGGAGAGAGCAAGGAAGGAGGGAGGTAACATGAAAGGGAGGAAGGATGGAGAGGAAAGAACAGAGGTGGGACCAGAGGAGAGGAAGGAAGGGTAGGTGGACATAGATGGAGGGGATTCTGTAGGAAGGGTAGCGGTGGAGGACTCGGTGAGAGAAGACACGATAGCAGAATTTGTAGGGAAGTTGGGTTGTAGGCTGGAAGATTTGAATGAGTTGAAAGAAAGTTTACAAAAGAGGAAGAAGCAGATCATAACAAAGAAGAGGAGATTGAGTGAAGTAGAGAGATTGAAGAGAGATGTAGAAGGAGACAAGAAG